CTACAAGAAGCAGGAAGCTAGTAGGTTGGAGGCCATCGCTACTAGTATTATGACATAAAGCTGCCTGCTATGTCTATAAAATCCTAACATAACTATTTTCGGAAAATAGTAGGAATAAAATAGAAACAAAGTAGGAACTGAAAATAGGAAAAAAAGGACACAAAGAGGATGATTCTCAAAAATAGGAAAAGAAAAGAGCTGGATTTAGAAATAGGAAAGGAAAAGAAGGAAAAGAATGGCAGCACTCTAGGACAGGAACATGAAATGGATACGAAGAGCAAATGACTGGAAGCAACATTCCGTTCATTTTCCTTTAAAAATTTGCTTACATAATTTCATTTTCCTTTAAAACAACCTTTTATTTTCCTTTAAAAAATTATTAACTCCGTTCATTCTAAATTAAAAATTGTAAATTCCTTGAATTTCCCTTGTAAATTCCCTGAATTTCCCTTTAAAAAATAGAAATTTGTGTCATTTTCCCTTAAACAATGATGAATTCCTTTCATTTTCCTTTGAAAAATGATAAGTTCCGTTCATTTTCCTTTAAAAAAATAGATTCATTTCACTTTCCTTTCAAAAACTGATTATTTCCTTTCATTTCCTTTAAAATTTCAAAAATTCCTTTAATTTTCTATTTTGTTTGTTTATTTATTGGTTTTAATCCTATGGTTTCCTATTTTTTGGTGGGGCCTGAAAATCGTCCTATTTTCTTATGTTTCCCTATTTTCCCATTTTTCCTATTTTCCCGAAAGCATTGCGAAGGGTTCTTCCGGAAAATCCTTTGAACACTGACACTTCGACACTTACACTTACACATTGACACTTTCACCACACTTGCACGACAACATGAACGCTATGCACGACAACATGAACGCTATACGTAGCCCTGTGTAAGTGGAAGAGCGAAAGCAGTGAAGTGCAAAGTATGCAATGCAAGTGTCAAAGTATGCAAGTGGAAGTATGCAAGTGTAAGTATGCAAGTGATGAGTATGCAAGCACGCAATGAGTGCAATGAGTAGGCAAGTGTGAGTATGGAAAACTAGCACGGGAGATGTCCTAATGAAAACAAGGCTCTTGTGGGACACTCTTGTAGGACACTCTTGTGGGACACTGTTGCGGGACACTCTTGTGGGACACTCTTGTGGGACACTCTTGTAGGAAACTCTTGTGGGATACTCTTGTAGGACACTCTTGTGGGACACTCTTGTAGGACACTCCTGTAGGGCACACTCTTCGTACGAGACTTCCTCCAAAAGTCACGCTGCGAGGCTGCAAGACGAGCGTTTCGTACGAGACTTCCTCCAAAAGTCACGCGTCAAGTCTCAAAAACGAGCGTTTCGTACGAGAGTCCCTCCAAAAGTCACACGTCAAGTCCCCAAAACGAGCGCTTCGTACGAGACTTCCCCCAAAAGTCACATTTCACGAAAACAGCGCTTCGATGCCACACCCTGCAACGCAAATCCCAATGGCACGGCCACATCCAACACCCCAAAAACACGACTCTCCAAATGCTAATCCCAATGGAACTACGCAGCACTCTGCAGATCTCACAAAACGCTGCGCCTGCGCAGCGAAAGGCATCACGTTTCTTGCGCCACATCTCATTTTCATGCAAATCACAATGGAATAGCGGCGCAAACTGACACGTGACACATCCATGAAAAGTCACTTGCAAAAGCTTCCCCCAATGGCAGCGCCTTAGCGTCCTACTGCGAACGGTTGCGGACGGTTGCGAACGGTTGCGAACGGTTGCGGACGGTTGCGAACATAGAAGCAACGGGTCGCGAACAAGGCTCTACCCCCAGACCCCCAAGAGTTAAACGAGAACCCTTCGCTACGCATTCGGGCAAACATTTCCCCACTAGGGTGGGACGAACAACGTCAACCGAAAGCGCAACCCTCTGCGGAGATCGTGCGCGTCGAGTGCGCGACATGCAGGTGAGAGTGCGATTCGCCGGCTGCCCGCGCAACCCTCTGCGGAGATCGCGCGTGTCGAGCGCGCGAAATGCAGGTGAGAGTGCGATTTGTCCGGTCCGCGCGCAACCCTCTGCGGAGATCGCGCGTGTCGAGTGCGCGAAATGCAGGTGCAGATAGACCGTGGGCTTGCTAATGAGTTAAGATAGTTATCTTATTTATTAGGTTGTTGTTAAAGAGTTATTTCAAAAATTCACTCATTAGCTAACTAGTTAGCTAGCAAGTTAGCTAACTAGTTAGCTATTTCAAAATGACGTTTTGGGTGTTGGCTGGGAGCGCTTTCAGCCACTGCTGTTGGTTGCGTTTATTGTGTGAAATGAGCAATGTCTTTTCAAAAGTTCTATAAAACAACAAAAATGGGCGCCATTGCAACATGAATCTGCAATGAGTTTTCTGCGCCCACAAAGGCTGAAAGCATATAAACTACATGGACCTGTAAGGGCCACAAAATAGAAACATTGTAAACAACATGGACCTGCAAGGGTCTCATACATCAGCTTGTAATGGCTGTCATGAATTGGCTCTTGGCGTTAGCTTGTATTAGCTGCCATGAACAACATGGACCTGTAAGGTGTAAGGGTCTCATACATCAGCTTGTAATGGCTGTCATTGGCTCGCGGCGTCAGCTTGTAATAGCTGCCATTAGTGCTGCACTCACACAGTTCTTTTCACCTCCAGGCCAAGGGGATCAAGGTAGTGTAAGTTTCATCGTTCACAGAATATGTCAGTGGTGTTAAAATTTGCTGCACATCCACAACTGCCAGGCCCTGTGTGCTTTTTCCATACACAAGACTTTTGTTCACTTAACATAAGACTGAACTGTGCCACTACAGACACACATTGCTCAGCATGTGACAAGTGAACATTCACCATTCCACATTTCCAAGTGGGGGGCACATGAAGTACAACATCACCCTTGCTCACAGTGCTGCCACGCACCATCTTCACTGTGTGGCCTGTACACACATCCACAGCAAAGGGCCAAATTAGCTGCCCAATGTGCAGAAGTGTCTTTGGCAAAGGTGATGCTTTCAAAAGGCCAGGGTCTTGGCGCAAACAAGCTGGACCACTCAAAGAATGAAACTCTTGGTTGATGACTTCACCCAGACCCCTCTTTCAAACATTTTGCGTTGTACATGCCCACAGCACGCCTGGACACATCTTTATGTTTCCTCTCTGCTGTAAAGCAAGAAGCTGTCACCCCATGCTCTTCCAAGTGGGCAGGAAAACGCAGGAGCCAGTGATGTTTCTTTTTCATGCACTCCTGCCAGCCAGCAGCCATCCACGCAATACAAGTAGGCACATAGCTGCAGCAGGTAGAGCCACCTTTTCCACTGAATGTGTCAGAACTGGCTCCAAAGTCATCAATTCTGACGCAGTGGCATCGATCTTCTCACTCTTGCGATGTTTTTTCACTGGCGTACACTCATGGCCCTGTGTGGAGATCAAAACTGACCTAAAAGTTTGTAGCCAAACACTTGCTGGAAGTGATGCTGATTGGAAACATCTAGCAAGGATCTACATCTAACTCTTGGAAGGCTATGAAGCTTGCAAAGGCAAACGCAGCACAATTCTGCACAGTGAAAGGCCACACAAACCACCAAACAAACAAAGAAACAATACTGGAGGCAGGGAACTGGAGAGAACTGGAGGAAGGGAACTGGCAGAAGGGAGCTGGAGGAAGGGAACCGGAAGCAGGGAACTGGAGGTAGGGAACTGGAGGCAGGGAACTGGAAAAAGGGAACTGTTCGTGTTTGAGTTTGTAGTTATAAATGCAAATACTTACAGTTCGTATGAACCTTTTTTCTAACCCTTGTAGGTTGTCTTGAACTTGTTTTGAACCCTTCTAGGTTTGCTTGAACATGGTTTAACCCTTCTAGGTTTGCTTGAACTGCTTTGGAGTCCTTCTAGGTTTGCTTGAACTATGTTTAAACCTTTCTAGGTTTGCTTGAATTTGTTTGAACCCTTCTAGGCTTGCTTGAACTTTTTTGGAACCCTTCTAGGTTTGCTTGAACTTTTCTTAACCTTGCTAGGTTTGCTTGAACTGTTTTGAACCCGTCTAGATTTGCTCGAACATATTTTTAAGCCCTTCTAGGTTTGCTTGGGCCATCCCACCCTGCAAGCCTTTCTAAATTGTATCATGCATGTGTTTGGCTTGTTTGTTCCTTGCCAAAGGGTACATTTACACCTGGCATGAGTGATGCTTTCAAAAAGCTAGGGGCCACCACATGGTGAAGTATAACAACAACAACAACAACAACAACAACAACAACAACAACTACTACTACTACTACTACTACAACTACAACCTTCAACATGAGCTTGCCAAGGCAGGTGACATGAGCCTGCACAGGCATTTGACATGAGCCTGCACCGGCAATTGACATGAGCCTGCCAAGGCAGTTGGCATGAGCCTGTACAGGCAGTTGACGTGAGCCTGCAAAGGCAGTTGACATGAGCCTACAAAGGGCATCCATAGCCTGCAAAGGCCACATGCGTTTACAACATGCAGAGCCTGCACAGAAGGCAACCCCACATTTTCCATTCCGATGAAGCCAGCACAGGCTAGTATATACACAGACAGGGTGTGGCTTAAACACACAAGCAGCCTGCAAAGACTTGAAAAAGTAAGCTTGCATTGCCTGACCTATGCAGCTTGCGCAGACTTCCAGAAATTGTGCCTGCAAAGGCTCCAAACTTGAGCCTATATTGACTGAAACTGTTTGAGAATGTACAAAGATCCATGCGCCAGCCAAAAAAAGGGCTTTTTCACATCACCCACGCCTTCACTTGTTGCGCTGGCTGCACACAGTCATGGCTCAGGCGCATGGATTTGTTAATGTGTTTTCCTTCTTGTTAGGGGCAATGGCACTGCTTTGTGTTATCAAGACAGGACAAAGAAAAAACGTTAT